ACGATCAGGATGGCACGGGCACCGGGCGTTGGGAGAAGAAACTAAAGGGCCCACGAGGGAGGCTGATGGGCGCTGCCCTAGAACTAAGTCAGCGAGGCCTGGCACCAGGTTTCTATCATGGAAGCGAAGCCTGGGGCTCTGCCTCCGCCGCTCCCATCCAGGGCCCCTGGCAGTGCGTCCAGTCTAGAAGGACCCCAGGGACAGGCACTCTTTCTAGGGGTGTGGATCCTTAGTGTCAGTGCCATCACGGGCATGAAGTTTGCCCCCTCACGCCTCAAAACCCTACATCCGAGAGACAGGAAGAGTGGTCCTCCGCTTAAAAAAAGTCAAGAAGCGGAACAGAAATCCCCCGTCAAGGGCTTTGCACTCTTTGGGGCTGAACACAGGGCCCGGGCGTTGGTTCCCATTGTTTTCTCAGCTGGCCGGGCCCGTGCCTGGGAGGGGCTAGATTTAACAGCTGGAACAACATCCCAGAGAGAGAGAAGATCAAGGCGGACCCGACCCAGCAGCCCTGCAGATCCGCGGGGGCAGGGGGGTCCTGGGGCCACAGACCCTCCCCAGGCACCTCCTGCCTTCAGAGGACGTGAGCACGAAGCCGTGGCCACAGACTTCTGAAGGGGGTGGTACTTGTCACCGGGGGTGTCCTCATACTTCTGTGCCCCTTCCGGTCTCTTGCCCACCCTGCCTGTAGCCCCCAAACAGGCTCCTGCTTTCCTTCCACTAAAAATGGGCTCAGGTGCCCCCCTCCGCAGCTCCTCAGCCCCTCCCTGTCCCTCCCGCCGCCCTAGCCATCGCCACCACTCACCCCACCAAAGTGCCCACTTCCCTCGGCATTGCAGGGGGTCCGAGGGACCCCATGCCACCTGACTACATCAGAACCACCCTGATTCCTCAGCCAGCATCCCCAGTTGAGACCCTGAATCTCTAGGCCTAGAAGAGAACCCAGAAACTGGTGTGATTTCAGAGCTTCCTGGGTAACCCTAATGAACAGCCAGGTGTGGGAACCCCTGCCCCCCCCCGAGGACGCACCCAGGGCCTGCACTTTGCTCACTTACTTCCACTTCTGCAGGGGCGGGGGCAGAGCGGGAAAGCGGAGGAAAGGGGCAGACAGTGCCTTCTGCCTGCTGTGGCTCCCCACCCCCAGGGTGTCTGTGGGCAGGAGCTGCCACCAGGGACAGGGAGTCAGGAAGCACAGAGGAAGCCCCCAGGGGGGCAGGGCCAGCAAGGAGATAGCAGGCAAGGTACAAAACACCAGACTGTCTACCTTAAACTTGAGGGAAAATTATAACGTATAACGGGGAGGGGGTGGGCCCCGGGGTTTATTTCAGAAGCTGGAGAAGGAAGGGGCAGGACTGAAAGAAGAAAGAACTTGGGGACGGGGGTGCACACAAGACTCCACGGATGCCAGGGACTGAGGACGTGCCCCAGGGAGCCTGTGTGCTCCTTCAAGACATCTCAAACCCGTTTCTCTTCTAAAACTGCCCCAAATGCCGGGAGGAGCATCCTTGCAGGGAAACCCCGTGGTCTCTGGTCTGAAGGTCACTGTCCATTTCATTTATTGTTACAGCCTCAAAGGGGCTCGGACAGAAAGGATCCACATGGGCTCAGACAGAGGGGCTGGGGAGCTCTCTGCAGACAGGTCACCCAGCTTGCGGCCCAAGAGCCTCCCAACCGCGGGCCCTGGATGTCTGCTCCCCGTGCTTCCCGGGGTCCAGGCTGCAACTGACCGGCGGTCCATGGAGGGAAACTCTCGGGTCCCCTCAGAGATGCACCGGGGCTGCCCGTGTGCTGATCCTGCAGTTGTGAAGTTTTGCGCACTTGGGCATGGGAAGAAGAAATCAGAGAAATTGTGACTTGACAGTTGTCCTCGCCCTGAGGGGACAGACTAAGACTGAGTTGGGGGGATAAGTTAATGAGAACAGAGGAAAACGCAGCAGGAGGGCTGAGAGCTCAGAGTGCAAGGGTCAGACTGACCGCAGCCCCTCGCTGGGAGGCTGGCAGGCCCAGCTCTCTGCGCAGCGGCCGCCTGACCAGCTGGGATGGGAGAGCCGCGGGGTCAGAGGAGGGGCCAGCGGACGGACAGGCAAAGCAAGCTGTGCTGTTCCCACCGGGCAGCCCACCGCCAGCCTGTCCGGGAGCCCTGGTTTTGGGAACAAAGCTCACATGTGTCTTTGCCTGGAGCAAAAGACTGGCGAGGAACATAAGTGTGAAAGACGCAAAAAAAAAGAGGTCTTTGTAGGGGACAGAGAAAGAAAGAGATTTATAGAAGATCCAGGAAAGATGTTTTCAGGCCGGAGTCCAACTGCAAGGATGACTGTATTTACTGTTTTCAGGAAGACAGCTGCATGTAATGGAGAAAGCCTGGGCTTTGGAGTCAAATTGAACTGGGTTCAGTTCCTAACTCTGTTAATTACTGGCTGTGTGATCTTAGGCTAGTCACTTAACCTCTCTGAACCTCACTTTTCTCATCAGGAAAATGTGTGTAATAACAGGTAAAATAACAAATGGACATATTAACAAGTAAAATGGGTAAAATAACAAATTTAAATAAAATAATGAGTGTAAAATGCCAAACACAAAAATAAATGTTCATTCCCTGCCCCACCTCTGGAATAATTCTGGGAAAGTAAAAAGCAGCCCTTAAAACACTCAGATAACTTGTATGCTTTGGAAGAGGTATATTGTGGTGGTTAAGGCAGCAGACCACAAAAGATGACTTGAGATGAAACCCAAGCTCCTCCTCCATGCTAGTTTGGCAATTTGGGGCAAACTTCTGAAAATTTTTAAGTTTCAGTTTCTTCATCTGTGAAATGGGGCGACACCTAAGTTGTGGGGTTGGTATGAGGACTAAACTGCGCCTTGCACTTAAGGGAAGGGCCCGGCAAGTAGTAAGCCCCGAACAAGCGTGTCAGCTTCGGGGCTATGTGTGGGTGCTGTTATTTTTGAAAAGCAACTGACCCTCCAGGGGATAGTGAGGTCTCAAAGATTTCAATGCATGGTATCAAAATGAGAAGACTCGTTCTAATCACGCGTTCCAACCTCCTCCTTAAACACACCCTTCTTTAGAATAGTTTAGCGTAGAGGTCAAAGGTGTTCAGCAACGGCTCGCTGGACCCCCGAGCCCGAACCTATGCCCGTACTGATCCACCAAAGTGCCGTGGGACGGCAAGGGTCAGGGCGAGGGGAAGGCAAAGGGCCAAAAGCCAGCACGCACGGCCCCAGGGGAGTCTCCTCTCCCGTGGCCACTCCCCACTGGGAAAGAGACGGCCCTGGGGAGGCCAGGAGAGGCAGCAACGTGCCCAACACACTGGCAGACAGGTAAACCCAGCCATGCCTCCTCCTGGCTCCTGCTCCCAGATGGAGAGCTTGGCAGAGAGAGGTGCTCTGGCCTCCGGGCTGACTAGCAGGAACTTTGCCGCTTTCTCGAGTGCCAGGCAAGTGCAGGTTGGAGTTGTCCACTTCCTGGCAAGTGCCAAGTACATCCCATTAGGGCTCCGGCAGGGGCATCCCACCCTGCAGGTGCTGCTGCTCGCTGACAACGAATGCCAGCTTCAGCGTGAGACCAGGACCGGCAGTGAAAAAGGCTGCTCAGAAGCCGGGCTCTTGAAACACCTTCTTCCCACGGCCTCAGAGGGCCCTGAGGGCACGGCTCCTGCACAGCCTGCAGCCAGCTGGGGTGGGAAGGATGGTGTCCTGGAGAGAAGACCGGAAGAGGGTTCATTCCCTGCAGTGACCCAGACACAGAAGGGCATGCTTTTAACTCTCAGGGTGGACGGCTCTCTGGCCCACCGCCCGCATGTTTGCTGGCAGCTGTTGTGTAACAAGCACCGCCCCTGGAGCACGTCCGGCACCGACGGATGAGATGCTCAGTAAACCCTGCTGAATGAACGAGCTGTGCGCCAAACAAAGGTGGGCAGACAGGACTCTGCCTTCCAGAGCCTATAAAGCCGTGGGACTTGCCCTCACGCAGACCTGGCTTCCAGGTGCAGGTGCCTGGGCGGAAAGTTCTTGGAGCTCTCTAGGCCTCAATTTCCTGTCTCTGACATGGGGATACCTCAATGGTCGGCTGTGAGGATGAGCTGAAAGAATGCATGGGCACCAGTTAATGATGCCAGGGCCACAGTGGGCCCTCAGCTGTGGTCAGCTACGGATAGTGACCAGGACACATGAGGCTTCCATCACAGAAGCCAGAGGTCAGGTCCAGACGCTCTCTCCCCTCTCTTTCATTCCACCTGCCTGTCTCCCTCCGCTCCCAGCCTGACCTCATGCAAAGGTGGCTTGTGGCTTAGCCATCGGTTCACACCTCCGCTCCAGAACCACAGTGGTCCCTCCAAGACAGCCTCCCCAGGCTCCAGGGCCTCCCTCAGCTCTGCTGCCCCCGCAGCCTCCTGGTTGCTGCCTGCTATCCTCCGTAGCCCTTGGGCCCTGGCCTGGTGTTACTTGCTGTGCAATGAGGACTTTGCACAGACGACACCTGGGTTTCTCCAGCTTCAACAGCTACGGGCCTGCCGGTGGGCTCCAGGCCCGAGGTGGAGCCTACGTGGAGACGCGGCGGCCACATCCATGTCTCTACCGGGTCTCAGAAACAGGGTGGGAGGGGACGTGCACATCCCACCAGAGGTCATGGACAGAGACCCAGGACCGAGGCTGAGAGGCTCTGGGCACGAGGAGCCTGGCTGCTCTGGGAGCCATGGCAGGATTCAGGAGGGAGGAGGGAGGAGCTCTGCCGGGGGGGCTGAGAGGCTGGGAGGCAGTCACCCCAAAGTCCTCAGAAGGGGAGCCTCTGCCTGTGCGAACAGGCCCCACCTCACAGGGAGCTGGGGGTGGGGGTGTTCCCTCCTCTCCTGCCCCTTCTCGTCCCCCAGCAGGGAAGGTGCCGCTGCCTTGCTGTTAAAATGTTTGGAAAGCTGTCGGATTGTTGGTCAGGCCCGTGCCGGGTGCCCCTTTCACAGACACAGCTCCCCAGCCCAGGGGAGACCCCCTAAGTTGTACACACTCCCCAGGAGGTCACCTGTGCCAGGCAGGCAGAGGCAGGGCGCAGAGGGGCCCACGTGGGGCTCTGGGCCGCCCTGACCCATGGCCTCTGCACCCTCGGCACCTCCTGGCTTTGCCAGTTTTCAAAATGGCTGCCCAACTAGAGTTGGGAACCTGTCGGAGGCAGTGGCTTCTTCCTTCAGGGCCTGTTGTCTAAACTCCCAGTCAGTGAGGAGCACCCCTGCAGAGGGTGGGCCCTGGAGGAAGGGCCGGGGAGGGCAGGGGCAGGGGCCTCTTGGCAACCGACGAGAAACTCAACACCAGCCCAGCTGGCTCCGGGAGGGGTTGGGAACAGGGGCCAGGAGTGGGCCATGTGGGCAGAGGAAGGGAACCAGTGGGGCTGGTGGACGGCTGAGAAATAGAAAGGCAGCTTGGGATGAAAGGAGAGGGGATGGGAGGTGGCGGGAAGAGGGTCCAGCCTGAGAGCCCTGAGAAGCGTTACGAAGGCCTCAGGGCCCCCTGGGTTTCCTGGCAGTTGTGAACCAGTGAGGGGGACCAGAAACAGCTGCTAACAGATGTCTTGAGACCTCCGCCCACCACGGACGTCTGCTGGCCAGCCGGGAGCAGGGATGCCCAGCAGAGCACAGGGAGGGCCTGTAGCCCAGGCACTTCCAGGACCACGTGACCCTCGTGGTCTGTGGTTTCTTACCTGGGGATCCCACAGACGCGTGAGGTTTGGGTACAGGTAAAACTGAATTCCTTGGGCTGCCCCGGGCAGCGTCACCCCTCGGATTAACAGGACCACCAGCATGAGGTAAGGGAACGTGGCTGTGAAGTACACCACCTGGCCAGGGGCGGATGAAACAAGGAGCTTGTGAGTTAGGAAGGAGGGGCCTGGAGACCCAGCAGCAGAGGCAGGAGCCGCTGACCTGGGAGGAGGTCAAGGGCGCTCCCCTCCTGCGCCCTCCCGCTCGCCCTGCAGCTGTTCGGCTCAGTCTGCCCTCCGCCTTCAGCCACAGCCTCCCTCCCCACTCCTCCCTCCAGCTCCCCCCACGCAGACCCAGCAAATATTTGTGGAGTGACTGAATGACACGGGTGTTTAGAACTGTGGCAAGGGTCGTCAGGTAGGGAACGTGTCCTCACAGGGCTTAGGCGCTTAGCACAGCCAAGCAGCCAGATTAGGAAGGAGGCCTGGTCAGGGGCCTCCGGGGCAGGAATCCAGAACTCAGACCGCCAGCACCTCCCACGCTCCCGGGCAACGGGTCTCCCCGGGCCCTGGGGTTGGCTGAGAATCGTGCTGAGATTAATAGTCTTAATGGAATTCTTTTTCCAAAGAACTGCTGTGTGAAATAGGGAGCCAGGAACCGGGTTTCGGTCTGCAGTGTACCCACACACGTAGGATCTCCCAAGATCAAATTCCTCCTGCGGTGTCAAGCCCCAAATACCAGGAAACAGGGCTGAATCCAGGAGAGGCACAGAATCAAGGAAGGGAGCCACAGGGAATCTCTGCGGGGTCATCCCTGCCCTTCCCCCTGGGAACCCCTGGGCGACTGAGACCCCACAAGGGCAGGGGGTCCTGGGAAGGGAGAGGCCGGGAGCTCCCCCACACAGACCTTGCCTGTGGACTTGACCCCCTTCCAGATGCAGAAGTAGCAGGCGACCCAGGCAAGCAGGAGGCACAGGGCCAGCTCCCAGCGCAGGGCCCCCAGGTGCTGGATGCCATCCGAGATCTTCAGGACCCGCCTCCTGGGGAGAGAAGGTTGAGCCGGCTCCACCGTGGTGCCAGCCTCAGCTTGGGCTCGGGCAACAGAGCCATGCGCCAGCTCTTTCCAAGGGCTTGTCAGCTTCTCCGCTCTGATCTGTAAGGCTCTGCTTCCTTGGCCCAGAGGTGCAGGTAGACAGAAAGTGAGGCCGAGACAAACTGTCCCCGGGTAAGCTGGGCTCTGGGAGGCCGAGCGCCAGCTTAACCTCGAGAAGGCGCGAAAACACATTTCCTCCCCCAGAGTTAGGACGCTGTGGTATCAGGAGCCGTGCCTCAGGTGAATGTCACCATTTGGGGGAGGGGCAGATAGAGGCGACACTCAGGCAGCTGAAGAGAGGAGGGTGGACATGCATGCAGGTGCACGACTGCACACGGGGGAGAGGAGGCAGCAGGGGTCAAGAAGAGCCTCTGAAACAGCCCTGCATTGACCACAGGCACAGGGACAGCAGGAAAAGCCACTTAGGTGACAGGGCCCCCGAAAGAGGAAGCAGAAATTCCTCTTTTGCTGTCCACAGAGCCATCCCCGATGAACCCATCCCCGCCCCTTCTTTCAGACGCACTGCACACACTGGGATGGGAAAGGCCTCACTTACTCCCAGAACTCGATGACAGGAGAGGTGGCATTCTCAGAGGTCACGTTCAGGGAACCGTTGGTCCTCTGGAACTCCACACAGTGCTCTGCCCGTGGGTCCCGGGGCCAGGGTGGTGGGGAGGTGAGGGGAGAAGCAAGAGAAAGGTCACTGGCCTGTATTCGGCATGACCAGGAAGGGGGTGAAGTTTTCGGAGACCGGCAAGTAGTGTATCTGGAAGGAACTGGGCTGAAGCTGTCTGTACAAGACATCCTCAGAATAAAGCACAAAGCAAAACGCCCAGTGACCCCGACAAGCCCACGCCACCTGCTCCCATGTTCCCACAGGGGGCTGCCCACGGTGGGGAGTGCAGCCTAATCAAAGCACAATCTGATTGCACCCTGAAAGATGTTCTGCACACCATCTGCTTCAAAGTATACAAATATCCCTAGGCCATTGTTCTTTATAAAGTCATGACCTTTGAGGTCCCCTAATAAGGATGCCTTCCAAGGAAGTGATGTGTCCAAGGGCTGAGCGCACAGGTGAAAGGTCAGAACCCTCTGGCTTGAATCCTGACCCTCCCGTAGGTCAGTGTGTGGCTCTCTAAGCCTCACCTCTGTCATCTCTAAGACGTGCAGAAGGAGAGCCCCAGTGGGCCTGATAAGGGGGTTAAATGAACACAGGACTGTACAGTCCTCCATACAGAGTGGCTCCGAATTATCCAGACATGACTTAGGGGGGTCACAAAGAGTGATCGCAGTCTGCTTCCACTTCAGAAGGACAGCAGTCCTGGGCGGTGTTAAGACAGGTGGTGTCTCTCCACTGTGCTTGCGAGAAAGCGAATCTCCTCAGACACGGCCTGTCACAGCTTGCGTGTGGCCGAGTACAGCAAACTGCGTGTGTTCTACCTTTACAATATCCGGACTCTGGCCCTTCCTTCCTGTTCCGGGCATCACCACCACCCTGGGCAGGTCACCACGGCTCAGGGCTCCCTGAGCGACCAGACTAGTTTTGTTAAAATTTCAGTCACGTCATGACTCTGTGTCGTGTCCCAGTTCAAACCCTCTAGAAGGTTTCTTGTCCCCCTCGGAGAAAGAAGCCCACACCTCATCATCGCCTCCGAGGCCCCATTCAACCCGCCTCGTCACCGCCCACCTCATCTCCCACTGCCCCCCACCCACCTGCCGTAGCCCAGGGCCTCTGCACTGGTGTCTGCCCCCTCCCCGCTCCCCCTCCTCCTTCCGCGCAGGACCCAGTGACCCCTTCTCAAAGAGACCTTCCCTGGTGACCCTATTTAAAATTACAACCCTCTCCACAAAATTCCCAATCTCTGGTTCTTGTTTATTTTTCTCCATGGCAGTTCTTCCCACATGGAACACGTGATGCACTTGTTTTGTTTACGGTCTGACTCCCGCCACTAAAATAAAGGCTCCTCAGCAGGGAGCTCTGTCTCTGCATGTCGCAGCATCCCCAGTGCTGGGAACAGAGCCCGGCATAGAGCCGGAGGGAGGGCCACGCACATCTGCTGAACGACGGCCTGGACACCCTTCTCCAAACCAAGTCACCTTCCTCGGAGCCTGAGCACACCCAGAAAACACCTGTTTCTTCCAGACAGTCCTGTACTGCTCAAGACGCCAGGCTCTGGGGAAACCCAGACTCACCAGGAGAAGTGCCCAAAATGTCACCAAGCCACAGCCCCAGGTTTTGAATTCGCCTTAGAATTGTCTGAGACACGCCCCCCTCTCCCAAATGCACAGAATTGCTGCAAGAGGACCTGCACTGAGATCTGGATAAAACCCCGTCTGAGGAGCCGGTTGTCAGGGCAGACTTCAGTGCACAGAGGGGAGGAAAGAAAGAAAGAGAGAGAGAAAAGGAGAGAGGGAGAAACGGAGGAAGTAAGGAAGGGAAAGAGGGAGGAGGAAAGAGAGGGGTGGGGAGGAAGAAAAAACACATAATAGAGAAAACATTAGAGTAAAACAGATTTTCAAAACTGGATTCACTCCACGACTATTTTTTGAGAGCTCATGACGTCGTAGCCGGCACGGTGCTGAGCACAAAGGCTCAGAGCTGGAGACACCTTCTCTGCCCTCAAGATCTTGCAGCTCTTGGGGAAGTGGGGTGAGTATCACAGTAAAGCCCGGGGCCAGTGCAGACACCAGCTGACACCCAACCTTGTGAATCTCGGGGTGTCAGGGGAGGGACTGCCAAGACTGGACTTTTCACTTGAAAAGCAGTGGGACGGAGGTGGTGGCCGAGATGGCAAGGGAATGAATGTCTGGGAAGAGAGCATATAGTGTGAGGGCGAGGGGGCCTTAAACACGGGGACAGACCCTGCAAAATGTGCCTCGCTGGCAAGCCAGGGATTCCCACTCCAGCTGAGAACTGAGTAGCTTATCTGGACAAGAGGTTCATCTCAGCACAGGTGAGGCCCATGTTTGGATGGTGGGAGATGGAGGCAGAGCTCAGGCTCGAAACAGGACAGGGTCCAATATACCCCCACCTGTGCCATCCAGCAGGGTAGCCACAATCCACAGGTGACTACTTACATATAAATTAATTAAAATTTAAAAAAAATTTTAAAGTCAGGTCCTCTCACACACAAGCCACATTTCAAATCCTCAACAGCCACGTGGAGCTAGTGGCTACCATATCAGAGAGTGCAAGGATAGCTCTTTTGGACAGCACTACCCTGGGTCTTTTTAATTTTTATTTTTAATGTAGGGTTTACTTTCAACTCATTAGACTCAGGAGTTCTATTGCCATAGGGGCTCTTGTCTTAGAAGAGTCACAGGAGAAAATTAATTGCTCGTCTACGTTGTATAGATGATACACAAAAAAGTTAGTCCCTGCTTAAATCCAGAATTGGGAGTTGAAAAGACCTGAAATAGTATCAGAAAGAAGACATGAGAAAGCAGTAAGTGAAAAAGCAATACATACATATATCAAAGTAACCGTGTTTCAAATCGTAACACGAGAAGGGACAAACTACATAAAAGGGAGCCGGTTCTGTCTTCGTAACACGTGGATCCGCAGTACATTAACGGAACGTGTAAGTTTGTCTTAACGTCTGGGACGCTTTGGCGGGGGCGCCGCTGAACTCTCGCCTTGTCTTGGACGCCAGGTCTCCGCGTGCGTCCCCACTCAAGGGCGGGCCGGTCCCGGGATGCGGGGACAAGCCCTGTCCTGGTCCCCGAGGCGGAGCCGGGGAAGCGGCGACCTCACCTGTGTTCCAGTCGTGGCGGCAGCTCCCCCAGGGCAGGTCGACGGTGAAGCTGCTGAAGAGGTAGAAGAGGGCCCAGGCCAGGACGACGATGTAGTAGACGTTGAGCAGGATGACGATCACCTGCGAGGCGTAGCCGATGCCTGGGGGGAGGCGCCGGGGTGGGCGGGGCGGGGCGTGGG